GAAAGGTATCCATCTTGAAAAACGATCCCTCCAAGATCCTTTAAAAGGTAAATGAACAGATAGCAACGGTGTTAATATGATGAATAGGTTGCCATAGAAATGGTTGCTATTCTGGGAGAACACAGTAAGATCCTGTTCAAATATTGAGCCATGTGTACCTTTCATGCATTTCATCAAAACGTAATCAAATTTTTATTGTGCTCGCCTACGTGTGGGGGAATTTTGTCACAATGAAACCCAACGACAGACTTGATGGAATACTGACGCTGCATATTTGACATCAATAGCTGTGATTTTATCTTTTGAAATACATCTGAACACAGGTATCATTTTGTGGGCTTTTTCCCCAAACCATTCTCTGCCAACGGATTTTTCTGCCACAGGTTTGCAAATCTATGGAAGGTCAACGTGTCAAAAATAACAAATTTTTATAAATGTTTCCAAACAGATCATAATGGGATTTGATTGTTAAAAATTCAAAATAACCAACAAAAATAGACCAAAGAATTAATAACAACGTCTCTTTCTTACATAATGAGGGTGCTAATAGGCAAATTGGGGCAAAATCTCTTGCCAACCACAGCTTAAATTTATGCCCTTCTTGCATCCCGTACAAAATGGCGTCAATGTTTACAACGAAAAGAAAGGTAATGTAAGATGAAATAAATCATCCCAAATACAACACATGCTCAAAGTACTCCACAATGCCCTAAACACATTCTTATAATTTTGCAACTAAATATTTTGCCAGTCGAAAACATGATGGGACCAGTATTTACATACTTATGTTTAAACCTGCGCCACTGCAGGACCCGAGCCAAACATTTTAATAATATGTATCACTCAGTTTATTCCAGTTCTCCACCCCGCAGGACCCAATCTCATTAAGAAAAGCTGCATGAATCGCGCAAGTTCACAGCTGACGCAATTGCATAAAACGCCCAGGGTGCTTTTTCTCTTGTGTTTATTTTCCACCATCTCTCACCTAGCTTGGCTTCGCTGGCTATTTTTTTTTTATCACTATCCATCTGTCCACTAAATCTGTTAAAAGGATTCATGTTGTTTTAATCTCGAACATGTTCTTTTTGTTTGTAAGGGATCATTGGATTTAACATCAGGCTTGCTTTTCGGATAAAAAAGGATGTAGATTTATTAATCCTACCAAGTAACCTCTCCTTAAATTACAAAATACTTCTAGTAAGAACATACATGTACCGGTATACTACTTCAACCTAATTTACATAAACTTTGTAGAATATGGTGCAGTGTAGGCCTACCGGTACCTCTTCCCAAATAAATTTTGTAGAAATGACAATCAATGGAAACTATCAATTTCCATAATTTGTAAAAACCTTTCTGAATTTTTAACAGGGGGAAAATAAGGAGATTCTTGCTTGGAAAATAGTAGGCTAAGGCCAAAAAAAAAGTCTCCGGTTTCTGGTATGGAGCTTTCCCAAAAAGTGGTGCGGCGACGCGGCTTTTTTTTTTTTTCCTGATTTTTTTGCTTCAAATGTGTGCTGATGACTGCAAATGGTGCCCGACTAAACTTAGTGCAAATATATGGGAGTCCAGAGAGGCCACATAAAGCTTATTCTCGACCATAACCCAATCTAAGAACACGTTAAAATTGTGCAGCAGCAGGATTCCAGTCAAACCAGTGAGTTTGGCGGTTTTGAGACATCATCTTTCATTGAAAAAAAAAACTTTTTCATTTTGCCAACGCGCATGGCTACGGCGACGCGCGCGCATACCAGAAACCGGAGACTTTTTTTTTTTGGCCTAATCACTGAGCTGTTTCTTCTTTTTGTTGGGGGGGGGAGGAGATTTGATGGTGGGGGGGGGGGTGGGGGAGAGGGGGTGGAGGTGGAATGGGCACTGAAAACAAGAACTTTCTTTTTTAGCTAAACAGACCACATGTACATGTAGCTAAACCTCTCCTACCAACAAAAACCCTTTACACCCCCCCCCCCCCAGGGCCTGACATCTCCCCGACATTCCCCACCCCACACCCACCCATACAAGTGTGTATTTGCCTGCAATCAGGTATCCCCTATTGTCCCTCTTTTGTTTGTACTTTTTAGGAAGACCTCCCACATGTTTTGTACACGAATCCAAATTGGAAACCTCTCGGGAATTGGGGACCCTACCGGTATTGTCCTCTATTGTTCAACATCCTCTACTGAATGCAGAATCCCCTACTGAATGCAGAGGACTCCTCAGTCCTCACCCCAACCAACACCCAAAAATGAGGGAAATGAAAGAGAAACCATCTGGGACTTATTATCACCCTTCCGCAGAACTCGCACAAGAATGGTGACACTAACTGTGAAACTCATTATTTTAGTCCACACATCCCACATTTAACTGTAACAAGTAACAGCTCATGTCGGCTGCTTGACACTTAGCTCTAAACACCCCTTATTAATGACTAGCCAAGTGCCGATTTCATTTTGGTGTGGTGGCTACAACTGCAAGCAATACTGCAAATATGGGTCATTCTAGAAATTTGGGGTCCACTTTTTTCCCTGTCACATGTTCTTCTGAAATCTGTGACTTTATAACTCTGGTGCAATCCTTATTGAATGCAGTCGTCCTCCAAGAGTGAACAGCAAACTACAGATAAAAAGTACCAAGGTAACAGGGACAGAAATGTCAGACTTTGGACCCTAAATTTGTAGGATGACGCAAATTCCTTCCTCCGTGGCACATGCCTTTTAAAAAACCACTCTGGACCTTTAAGTTTTAACACATTAATTTCCTTGTCCTGTGTATACATGTATGCATAAATATCAAATCACATCATGTCAGGGAAGTAGATAAACACTTCAAATATTATTACAGGATTCTACATGTATGAAAGGATACGAAACTATGTAATTTACATCCGCTGAACATTCAATAAAAAAAATGAACTTGTGAACTGTGTGTTGAAATGAACTTGTGAAATGAGTTTAAAGGGAATGTACATCATTGGTTTTTGCTGTAATTTTCAGAAATGAACTATTTGAAGGGTTACTATGATAGATCAAATATTGTTACACTGACATGTTTGAAGTTTTGTGTTCCAAAATGCTGGAAAAACCAAGAAAAACACAAATGGTGAAGTAGTCTGGTTCCCTGACTCCACTAAAGATAAAATGGATCAATTTTTAGATGACGGAAATTTGTAAGGTAAAGGGAAGCAGTCTAGCTGGCCTGCACCCATTCATGAACATGTAACCATTAGCAAACAAACTTTTGGACTGAAAAAATGGTGAATTTAGAGCAGTAGTTGAAAAATAGTTAGGTTTTTCTTATGGTGGTCGGCCGACCACTGTTGGAAATTTATACAAAAACACAATTTTCTTGAATATGACTTCACACCAGGTGCCATAATTTTACAGGATGTTTTAGACTGTCATTTACCAACATCCTAGTAAGGTATTTCATAAAAACTGGGTAGTTTTATTTTTCGATGTTTGCAAATGTTGTATATTCCCTTTAAAGGGGCAGTAGGGCCTGAAATCACCAACAATTTTATGTTTTGGGATTGTTTTATTTACTGTATAAATCCTACTGTAGTTCAAAGGCCTGGTTGAAAGAAAACTAACCTAATGTCTTATTTATATCGTTCCTGACAAAAAACACACAAATCTGGTTGGTACATAAACATCGGACTCGGCAGACATTTTGTGGCATACGTATTTCTAGTCGTGTCCATTCAATGCACAATGGTACACGTTCGGTGTGTCAGCCTTCTGTGCAATATAACATCAAGCCCATATATTGGCCCTTGTCTCCAACAGGCGTGTACTGGTTCATCCTCAGCAGTGTTAATTGTATAGTCTACACGTTTTCTAATTATCACCGTTATATAACATGTAATAGTAATAGGCATAACTTTTTCTTAATCTTAGGCGAAGTTAAAAAACCAACATGTTTCTCGTCCCCGCCCACTTCCTTTTTGGAGGCCGCCTGGATTTTTTTATTATTTTTAATTTTTGAAAAATGCAGTAAAAAAACACAGAAAAAGTCCACAAATTCATCGGAAAATAAATTGTAGACCAATACAAGTCTAAATGACACTGTAAATATGTTCAGTTCTCTTGTCCAACTTATCTTTCATTTTAAAAGTGTCTTTGAAGAGTGGAAACACAAACGGTTGCAGGCAATTTTTAAATGGCGGCCATCTTGAAACAAATAAAAAATAAAAAGCCCCGCTTCCTCCTTTTTTTCGTAAACCCGGACGAGAAACATGGGTTTTTTTTATTCGGCCTTAAGGCAATTAATATTTAGCCGGGTAGGGCATAATGCAGAATTCAATATAAAAAAATGGGACATAAAAATATTTGTAATTTTATGGCAGTGGATTAGCCAGATCTGGCTTTCTTTTTAGTAAAGTATATTTTTTTCCCCAAAAAAAAATCCTCAAAAAAGAGCCACAAATCCGAAAAAAAGTGTAATACTCTGCAATTAAATATTGGAGTCAATTTAAAACACTAAACTTAAAGAAAAACATTCTTCATTTTTTGGGATGAAAAAAAAATCAAAAATTGTCAATAGCTGGGCTTGAACCGTACCAGGGATCTACGAGACAGACGCACAATCTACTCGTAATTTAATACGTTTTATAATGTAAGCCTACTCGTATACGAGTCTAAGCATGATAAGAGGGTGCTGTACAATCTAGCAGCCTGGCTGAATATCGTTTACTGAAAGAAAGAGTAATAAGTAGGCAATTTTTTCAACAAATTTTGAATGACTAAGCAGCACTGTTTACAAATTAAATGAATCATTAAACAAACATTTTACAATGACACCATACATCCCCAACCCAACCCCCCTCCCCCCCCCCCAAAAAAAAATGTGTAACAATACAAATCAAATCATATGAAAAGAAAATTAGGCTTTAGGCGTTCATTTCATGTGTTAAAAGTCGAAACCCCGCCCCCTCTTTTTTCAACACCGTCATCCCTGAAAATGAAACGTCAAATCTCAGCCATACTCAAAGAACAACTCACCCAGCGTATTTCGACTCCCCGAAGTATTTCTGTGTCGATCCTCGTGTACCCTCTTCATGCCCTTCGCGGTGCGTTTGTCCAAGTTGTCACTCAGTCGCTTACCGACCACCATTTTGTGAGCCATTTGAAAGCCCAATTTCGGCAACGTCTACACCAATCAGTCACCCACACAACAAGCACGCATCACTTTCTTGAGTGGTTTCTCTTACAAAGCTGCATAGCTATTTGACACTTTAATGACCCTGTTATCTCGCAAGATTTCCAGCGAACTATGGTTTCGCACAATAAGGCTGTGCAGTATTACTTGATCTTTGACCCGAATATCCAAAACCGTCAGGATGACTTTTTGAGCACATACGCAGTTCACCATTCCAACAACCTGTGATTTTATTTTGGCCTAGGTTTATTTATTTAGGGCAGGATTGTACATAATACGCATGCGCTTCTAGTTACAGGTCACCAAAAATGAATTATTCATGATTTGTTGACAGCTAGACGTAGACAAGTTTCCAGTCCTTCCGTCATCGATTCTGACTTCGAATTAAGTAAATATTAATTGATAACCAGATCCTCTTCTTCCTTTTTACTGAACCTTAAATGGAGTATACCTTTAATGTTCTATTGAATATTTAATGAGTTTCGGTACGCTAGATGTCGACTTAAAGCACAGAGGGAGAGTGCTTAAAACATAAACTGCGTGCGGACTTGTACAAGTTAAGTTTAGTAACTTAATGAATATTCAATGTAATATAAATATTCAGTATATACAACCTTCATCCTTTGTCGATAATCTTGTTAGTTGATAAGTTGATTTTATCACAAAAATCCATACAACAAACACATTTTATACTTTTTAAAAACTACATATTAATAACGAATATTTTTACTTGTAATTCAAGTAAAATTATTTGAATACCATTATTGGATTTTTTTTCTTTGTTGTACAATCTTGAAAGAGACGTAAATCACATGATAAATTTAACTTTCATCGTTCACGTTCGCCAAAACATGCTTGCACAGCAGGATGGTAAGAAATATGGTTTAAAATTTCACTATTTGTAGGATAGTAATTGTTATGGATTATCAGCCGGGAAAAATGTGAAAATGTGTAAATAAACCAATTATGGAAAGATTGTGTAATTTTGGTTTTGTTTGGGTTTGGTTGTCGTCTTCAAGTTTCAACATGTTCAACTTCACTTCTTCAGCTAGTTCATCCATCAACTTCAATTTCAACTTCAAGTTGTTGATTGTTGATTGTCATGATTGTAAGTGGTGTGTTGACTTGAATTAACCCTAGGACTATGGTCTTACACGTAAGACCCATACTAAGATAGACATATCAACGCGAACATGCTGTACACTCCACGAATAATAATATATGGAAATGAGTCTTGGAGCGGCCGCTGTATATTTTCTAGGGCGATTGTCATGATTCATTGTGTAGTGACACTAGTGTCATGAGTGTAGGGCCCGGTCCCTAGTATAAGGGAACAAAATCCACTTTAAAATTATTGGACCTACAAAACTAGTTGGCGACATTCTCAATAAACAGGTATATCATAAATAGACCCGAAAATAAAGATGGCGATCACCGCGCGATGTACTGTGAGCACGCACTGTGCGCTGAATCGCAAGGCACAAACCGCGCAGGCAAATCGTGATTTCTACCCCTGAAAGAAACTGTTCAAAATTGCAAAACAGGTGTCAAATAGAATTGAGAGAAGTCTGCTTTTGATTGTAAATGTGATTTTTGAGCAATAAAAAACATTTTTGACTCTAATTTGATCAAAACAAAATATTATATTTATTCCCAGTGAGAATTTGATCCCAAAGAATTACATGTACCTTTGCAAAATTCCAAACTCAGTGAGCATTCTTAAGATAATGGTCAAACATTTTTAAAGAAGTACAAAAAAAAAGAGGTACATACATTTTTGTTTCTGTTCCAGTCTTTTGAAGACGAAGAGTTTGTTGGAGGGTATAGCGCCCTCGTTGGGTCCTTCCCCAAAGACTTCGGCTACGGACCGGACGACCACAATGCTGAGGTGGGGGCTGCATCTGCCGACACCAAGCCACGGATCCTGCTGATGGGACTCCGGAGGTAGGGGTCATTCCATGTCAAGTCAATACTCCTTCCGGGGTCAATTGGCCAAATTTGCTTTCAATTTGCTAAAATTGTTCATATATCAGAAATTCCACATCCCGATTTTGAACCTTTTGGGTCACTTGTGAAATACTGGTCCTTTTTCAATACAGCTTTTTTCACAGGCTATAGTTAGGGAATTGAAATATCACATTGCAAATCTTTATAAGGACTTTAAATTTCTACAATGATTAAAGCGCTTTGGTAGCTCCGTGTGATAAATGTGTGTTCTGAATGCCGAAGGAACTAAGCTTGAATCCCAAAGATTACTTTTTTGATAATTTCCCAAAATGTATTTTTTTACTTTGATTGTTGTAAATCAGATCCTACTTTTATTAAAATAGAAATTTCCCGCTGATTCATGGCCCTGGAGGATTTTTGGTGTTTTTTTACTGGGAATTAACCCTAACCCCCTAGGCCCTTGTTGCTTACAACCATCCTCAATCCTCCAAAATCCTCCAAAATTTTGCAACTCCGCCTAAATTTTTCAAAATTGTCAGACAGTCCTGCCTCAAAATGCATTCATCCTCAATCCTCCAAAATCCTCCTCATCCCAAAACTTTGCACTCGTGTTTAAATGAAGGATAACCAACGCCAAATCCTTCAAAATCATCAGACAGTCCTGCCTCAAAATGCATTCATCCTCAATCCTCCAAAATCCTCTTGTGCTTCAATCACCATTCATCCTCAATCCTCCAAAATTTTCATGTGCTTCAATCACCATTCATCCTCAATCCTCCAGAATCCTCATTTGATTCAATCACCATTCATCCTCAATCCTCTAGAATCCTCCAAAACCGCCAGGAGGATTTTGGAGGAGTGAGGTGGGTTAGGGTTAAAGTCTGGGAAGTAAAGTCCGAGAACCATTTGGTTGACAAGTCAAGCATGCGCGCTGTGGTCGACTTTTGTTTAAAAAAAAACAAAAAAAACAAAGCAACAGCAATTTTTAAATTCTCTTGGCAGCTGACTCCTCTGCATGTTTGTGGTATTGATTTTTGTTTTTGTTTCCAGGAGTGGAAAGTCGTCAATCCAGAAGGTGGTATTTCACAAGATGTCGCCGAACGAAACCCTCTTCTTGGAGAGCACAAACAAACTAGTCAAGGATGGTAAGCGGAATGATATCACTGCTGATGTAAAGACTAGTCTGGCCAATAATAATTAAATAATAGTTTATACATTTATATTGCGCAAATACCATAAGAATATGATGAAATGCGCATCACAATTATTAACCCTGTTCATCAGGAATGAGACCCTGCAGCAGCTTGAGATCCGCGCAATATGGTCTCTACCCTCACTGGTACCCATTATACTCCTGGGTGGAGAGAGGCAATCATAGTAAAGTGTCTTGCCCAAGAGCACAAGCACCATGTTCCCTGTCAGGGTTCGAACCCATGTACCACGGCACACGAGTCGAACACCGTAACCATTCGACCACAGTGCCCCACAACCATTAGCGAAACAACAGCAGAATTGTGCCGAGTGCCTTGAACTCTTGGTGACTGCTCTATGTTCCGACACCCCTATGTTCCGACAACCTAGATTGTGTTACTCCCGGTTAGGGTTAGGAATAGGAATATGTGCAGTCGGAACATAGGGGTGTCGGAACATAGAGGTGTAACCGAACTCTTCAGGCTGCTTTGTACTTCATGTTAAACTTGACCAGCACATTTATAACCCCAACCTTCTCAAATCCTCCAAAATCCTCTTTGCATAATGGTGGATTTTGCAGGATTGAGGCTATACTGCAAAAAGGTGTGGCTGATTTTGGAGGATACACTGTGTCAAGGCAGCACTGAATCCCTCCATATCAATGCTGATTTATTTTTTTAAATTCATTGATTCAGTTTTTATTTCGATGTCATTGATCTACTACTTCTTGTTTCTAATTTGTGACTTTGACAGACATCAACAATAGTTCCTTTGTTCAATTCCAAATTTGGGACTTCCCCGGCCAGATTGACTTCTTCGATCCGACGTTCGACTCGGAGACGATATTTGGCGGATGCGGAGCTCTTGTATTCGTCATCGATGCACAGGTAAAATCTCAAACTTCAAACAGTCCAAGTGTAGGTTTATTGAGGTCGGGTTTACATACTCCTAAATAGCGACCTCGTATTGTGTCCACCATGTCTCAAAAAACGATACATGGAAATTTATTTCTTGGTTTTAGGATGACTACATGGACGCGTTGGCCAAACTGCACATGACGGTGTCCAGAGCCTACAAAGTCAACCCCAACATCAAATTTGAGGTTTTCATCCACAAAGTGGACGGCCTTTCGGACGACCACAAGATCGAAACACAGCGGGACATCCATCAGCGGGCCAACGACGACCTGAGCGACGCCGGCCTAGACTGCATTCACCTCAGGTAGGTCGCCCAGAAAGGTCAAAGGTCGGTCAAAGGTCGGTCAAAGGTCAGCTTAGAAATTTGCTAAGCACAGAAAACATTTGGTTAGCAAAAACAGGTTACCAACTAAAACCTCTTGTAATGTATATCGCTTGTTACCGGTTCCCTGCTGAATTTTTGCTTACCATATATATTTGCTTAGCAGGTTTTTTGGTCTATTTTTTATAGTTTCTACCTGACGAGTATCTACGATCACTCCATCTTTGAGGCCTTCAGTAAGGTTGTACAGAAACTCATCCCGCAGCTACCGACGCTGGAAAACCTTCTCAACATACTCATATCGGTAAGCACCGAAAAAGGGGTGAAAGTTTTTCTGTCTCCGAGCCAGAAAACCGTGAATACGAGGCGTTCTGGCAAAATGAGACAAAACTGGGCAGAGGTGGAAATGAGGGTGTGTAGGTATTAGGAAAGAGAATGAAATTCTCCTTACAATGCTGTTTGTTGCGCTTCAATCGGACATTCCGTTGACAAGTTAATGCTGTTTATAGTTCGCATTTATCGACATATCAAAATAGTAAAATACTGAGAAAAAGGCCCTTAAAGTTTCAAGTTTTGTATTCGTAAAAATGAAAGATGGCATATTGTTTCCTTCAAACCACTTTTACTCCATGATTTGCATTCTATTTCTTTAAAATAACATGTAGTAGACATACATGTATCAAAAAATTACAAATATCGCTAAATCTGAAAATTGATAAAAATCACCCCCATTCAGTTTTTTTCATTTTTCTTCACTATGGCCTGTGTCCATTTTGCCAGAACACCTCATATATTGCTGGTCATTTTTTAAGATTGTCGGTTCTGTTGAGCCGCGGTGTGTGTCCTTGGGCAAGACACTTTGTCACTCTTTTCCTCCAACCCAGGAGTTAAATAAGTTTCTGTAAGATTAGAGATAGTTATTGAAACAGTATGAGGCTGTACACTCTCTAAGGAGCTGAGATGGTACAGGAAGTTTTTATTGGCGGTGGTAAAAATTAGAAGTGTGCAGGACGGGAACCCTATTGAAGTAAAACATGGACACCCGGGTACCAGTAAAAGAAACCCAACCCCAAAATGTAAATCCTGGAAGTTGTCTGAAGGGCTTTATTAGCTTTGCGATGTAAACTGCAACTTTTGCAAGCATCATCTGTTGCACGTTAAAATGTACATGAAACTGTTTTGATTTTCAAGGTAGCCTGGTTTTCATTTTGAAAATGCCCACAAATGGCATTCAAAACCTTTCTTTTTCGTTGTTTGAGAAGTAACTAAAGTAGGTCTAATTTGTAAGTTGGTTACGAGTACCCGATCCAAATCTGGAACCGGTTCTCGACATCTTATTCAGTTGTTAAATGCCAACACCGTACATAATTTATGTAGAATGAATAGCGCCCTCACCCATGGAAGAGTACCTCAAGATGTTTTCTCTTATTTCTGGCACAGAATTCTGGAATCGAGAAAGCATTTCTCTTCGACGTGGTCAGCAAGATCTACATCGCGACCGACAGCTCCCCCGTGGACATGCAATCGTACGAGCTGTGCTGCGACATGATCGACGTGGTCATCGACGTGTCTTGTATATATGGGTAGGTTTTTGAAATTGCTTACGAATTCATTCAGAGTTCCTGTCCTTCACAATGAACATTTCGTATTAAAAATAACAAGAATTGCCGCCTTTTTTGCTTCAACATCGGAGGAAAAAAGGGAAGAAGCCACATCAAACATAAACATTGAAGCAAACAAAAATTGCTAAGAACTACATTGTTGAAGGTTCAGCTGAGCGGATACTGTACATTTTCGAGAAAAACGGAAAACGTATCCACAATGTTAGGGTCTCATAACTGGAATCCGTTACTAACGCACGTTAAAAAAGTGTGCCCGCCGGTGGTTTTTAAACCACCTTCAATTATTGTTTTCTCTTGAATGATAAAATTTCAGGCAGAATAATTTCCCGGAGTATTGGTACGAGTCCTTTCTTCACTTTGAGCAAGGATTTTCTCGTTACGTTTCCGGGTAATTGCAAATGTTCCATTTTTCGCTCTCGACCAGTTTACAGGATGACGGTGAAGTCGCATACGACACGGACTCCAGCTCCATCATTCGGCTGAACAACGCAACGATCCTGTACCTCAAGGAAGTGAACCGGTACCTCGCCCTGGTCTGCATCCTGAGGGAGGACAACTTTGACAGACAAGGTGAGAAACAGGGTGGGGGGAGAGGTTGGGGTGGGGAGTACCCCCTCATGGGTGCCAAGGGAAAGATTCTCAGTTGAAATTTAATTTCACATCCTCTGCCATATTCGCTCTTTGCACGCTTCCCCCATAAGCATGCACAGCCTCGATCGGGCAACTTTACACAATAAATATAGCCGGTTCAGTGATTCCCGAGTCAGGGTACAGTGATTCCCGTGCATACACGGGAATCACTAAACCGGCTTTTTTTATTAAAGTTGCCAGATCTTGGCTCTTCCCAGAACTAAATGATGGTCAGTCATGCGGAAATCACTAGAGCATGACAAATGGACCACAAGTTACAAAACTTACTTCTTCTTTTTTTTCAACCCAGATTTTCACTACCAAGGAGTGATTAAAGTCAAAGGTGTTGTGCGTAAAGTTTGTTCCTTGAATCTTACTCTTTCATGTGATGTCAAAATCAGTGCCATATGTGCAAAAATAAGAAAGTTATGCCTGTTTGTTGATCTGGTCTCAATAACTATTCCTCCAGCGGTGAAAACAAATATGAAACAGTCATCAAATATGTCATTTTGATGCATCTTGCTTATGATGGGTTTAGTGATATCAGTCTTAGGACGCGTCTTGACTAGGATGCATCTTAGAGCGGGGACTCATCTTAAGTCCGTCACAAGATTAGACGAGATTTGTGAAATCGTCCCCTGTTTACATAAAATGTCTGTTCCAAGGTGCAAGATTTGGTGTTTTTTGGGGGTAAGTTTTTGATGGGTTTTTTTTTCAAATTTTGTTTCACCGCAGGGCTGATTGACTACAATTTCCTCTGCTTCAAGAGAGCCATCGAAGAGATTTTCGAGGTCCGGCAAAAGGGCCAGGGTTCCTCTGGCCCGACCGGGGCCGCGGGGATGAAGTCGTTACGGTCGCTAAGCAACGATTCCACAGACAGTCCGCAGTTGAACGGACTAGTCGCGGCCAAATCGTGAGGCAGTTTCTAAATAGCAAATATATTTTATGGAGTGACTTTCGAATGGACTTTGAAGAATACCTCGTAGAGTTTTTCAGCAAGTGCGCAAAAGTTAAGTTACGTCAAAGTTGTGAGACGTCTTTTCTTACAATTCTGGAGGCCCTGGTTCGATTCCCACTCTGGTGAATATGTACGTCGGAAGTAAAATTTTGTCAAAGTTGACGTTGCTTTCACTAAGCATCGGCTAGTGCAGTTGTCATTTTACAATTCTGATGGCCGAGGTTCGAATCTCACTCTGGTGCAGGTACATCAAAAGTAAAGATTCATCAAAATTGATGTTGCTTTCGCTACAAAGCTTGCAAATCCACTGGCCCTGGTTCGAATTCTACAACAGAGAATTAACGGAACAGTTTTTTCAATTTTTTTTTTTTTTTGTGGAACCGTATGATAAGAAAAATCAGAGGGGTTATTCCTCATGTTCAAAGCGACGCAAAAATCTTCAATCATTATTACTTTTTTTTTGGTTCTTTTGTATGTACATACATGTAAATTATATGCTGCACGCAAACAAGAGTAACCCTTTTTGGTAAATTAGTAACAAAATTCCTATTAAACTGTTGAATCTTGTACAATTTTTGTGTAATATGTAGAATATGATTCAAGAACGTAAATTAGTATTTTAAGTCCAAATGGGGGGGGGGGGGTTTAAATTCTCAATGGTTACTCAACAATCGTTACGCCAAAAAAAAAGTCTCCGGTTTCTGGTGTGCGTCGCCGTAGCCATGCGCGTTGGCAAAATTAAAACTTTTTTTTTAATGTAAGATGATGTCTCAAAACCGCCAAACTCACTTGTTTGACTGGAATCCTGCTGCTGCACAATTTTAATGTGTTTTCAGATGGGGTTGCAATCGAGTATAGGCTTTATGTGGCCTCTCTGGACTCCCATATATTTGCACTTAATTTAGTCGGGCACCATTTGCAGTCATCAGCCGACATTTGCAGGAAAAAAAAATGGGTAAAAAAAAAAAGAAGGCCGCGTCACCGCACCACTTTTAGAGTAAGCTCCATACCAGAAACCGGAGACTTTTTTTGGGGGGCCTTAGTAGTTTTATTTATTCACTTTAGGCTTGGATATTCCAATAATACCGTATAACAATACGGTATTATGAAAAGATTTTTGTATATACCGAACAGTACCCAATGATGTTGTCGAAATCCCGACAACCTCGGTAGAGAATTTCATTACCACATTTTCCCTCTTAAATGTGGCCAAATCTGTGGTACCCAAACAGGTAGCAGAAATAACGTGGCCAGACCCATCGTTAGGTCTCGTGTTAAAATCTCCGAAGCAACAGCCGTGAACTCCAAACAATTGACAATAAACACACCGTCGTCAATTTCCAATGCTATTTATTGAAGTAGTAACAACATGCAATATAAGAAAATAGACATGTACGCGAAAGAACATTTCCAAACAAAATTTAAGTATTGCACAAGTGAATGAGTAGGCAATGTCTGACACCCAGTCTCTGTTTCCATGCATTTCCAATGCAAGTAGTGCCCACCAGACCATTTAATTTTTGCTAACGGTAAGCACAGCCGTGAAATTTAGGCTGCATCCGAATCAGTTGTCTAGAGCTAGGTCTAGGTCTGCGCCCATTGAAAATACGCGGGGACGCGCTGACAATAGACGTAGCCGTAGCTCTGGAAGCCCGTTTCGGACACGGCTTAGACTAAAAATAGACCTTATTCGCAAGGAAGCCATTTTTGATCGTGTTCCCTGAATGTTCTTTATAAATTGTAAACTGTTGCATGGGATGGTACCAGACTACCATGCCTCACTTTCAAATTTCTTTTTTTAAGTGTGGCTTTTAACACTAGGGTAGGTTTAATCACAAATTTAAAATTATTCATCAGAGCAGACTGGTATTAATTTGCGACGAACTTTATTTCGTTGCTTTCATTTCTATTCGCAAGTTCCAAAAATAAAGATTTTACCTCGTTTTCAATTTAATATGGCCAACTCGTGAATAAAGCCTATTCAAAATTGCTTGTGCCACCAACTTCTACTTTAAAATTTCAATCAAACATGGTTGTTGAAATGCTCAGAACATGTACCCAATCTTTGCAACATTTCTTTTTTATTGAGAAATATATCAATTAATAGGTGAGTAAAGTTTAATAGACTGATTGATTAAAGATTCAAAACGAGCTTATGTCATATTGAGGCGACCCAGACAAACTTGATAGTTGAACTAAAAACTTCCAAACTTTTCTTTAACATTAAAGTTCGATCATGAATTTGTTTATAATTACAATTTAAAAAGTTGTCAAATTTTGTAAATAAATATTTTGTAAATGTGATTTCTACTCAAATTGATAAATACTCAAATTGATAAATTTCAGTAAAAGTTCTGTGTTATTTACAATGCTACATGTATGTGGGAATATCTCCACACAGTAAGTTAGAGAAGAAGTACCGTAGGAGATTTAATATCCTGATATTTTATATATTTTTTTGTGGAGAGTTGAATTTTAGATTTCAGGACTTAAAAGCAGTATACCTGTACAACACTTGGTTTTGCTGTAATTTTCAGAAATGGATGGATTTTGGGGTTAGTATTTTATAGCAAATATTGTTACTCTGACCTGTTTTGTCTTCATACGTGAAGGAAAAACAAAAAAATGCTGTTCTTGTAGTCTGGTTTCCTGACCCTACTTCAGAGAAAACAGAGCAATTTATAGACGTCGGGGAATTGTCAGGTCAGGGAACCAGACAAGCTGGCTTGCACCCGTTTACGGATGTGTGACCAATGTAAACAAAGCATGGACTAACTAAATTTGGTAATTGGGGGCAGTATTCGAAAAAAGTCAGATTTTTTCCAATGATGGCCAGCCGACCATCGTTGGAAATTTACACACAAAAATCCTCTTTTCTTAAAAATGACAGCACACCAGGTGCTATGATTTCACAGGATGCTTGAGACTATTATTCACTTACAGTCGAGTAATGTAATTTATAATAATTTGGTATTTATTTTTTTTTTTTTTTATGTTTGCAAATGTATACTACCTTTTAAGTCTATTTCTTTCATTGGATGGGCAGCACTTTGCATGACTTTGTAATTTACATGAACAAAGACCTACACACTCTACATACATTGGCAAAAGAACAATCGTGAAAGCTTTTTTCTTCTGAAATACCGCTGTACTTAAACAGAAATAGTAAAACCCACATTAAATGCAAAAATGGAAGTGTGTGCTTATAATTTGAAGTTTTTAAAATAGAGTGTAACATTCTTAGGTTGATTTTATAAGAGAATTCTGGCAAGCATGTATGCAGGAGAAAATCTCTAAAAAACTGACTTGAACAAGATTTGAACCCACAGCTTTCCGAACACTGTATCAGTGTCTTGAAATTGAGCTATCTAACCCAATGCTAAAATGTTGAGAGACCAACGAATTAAGGATAGCACTACTTTGGCTGTGCACTTTCATATTATTTTCATTAGTGGTGGGGTGCGAATCCTGATGAGGTCAACTTTATTTTGCTGCAGAGGCACAGGTTCGAATCCTGTATCAGTCAGTTTTCTTTCTTTGAAATTGAAAAGTGCTAAACATCTTATCCACATGTAAGTAGTATTTCGGTTTTGGTTGATTACTCAAAAATTTTACTTGGGACCAACTGTCAGATTCTTTTACGGAAGTGTGCACAACTGGTATATGTTGCACTGCGTTGTGGAACAGTGTGCGTCAGCATTTGGGGATTTGATCTGATACACGGTACCCTGTGGAGACGTGTATAATAGGGAACAAAAGATTGTATACATCTCCACAGGGCAATTTCTATTGGTGAACACGTCTCCACAAGGTTATTACGAAAAAGATATATTTAAAAATAGGAATTTCCAAGGTGTGTTGATTTGTCGCAACTTGAAGTATTTTATTTACGGGATATTAAATACGAATTTCAGCCCAGGAAATTATTTCTGGTTAAAATATAGGAGCATTTTGATACTAGATTTTCACATTCTAAAATTTTAGTACACGAGAACAAAGAAATGACTCCACAAGGATACAAATTTCAGTTATGTATGTGTGTGTATATATGTTAGTTATACATGTAGGTGCACGACAAACGAAGGGCATCATCGCCCCAAACCACAAAAAAAGATCGTTCATAATAGACTGCCCTTTTGCTTTGGAAATAAAATGGATGTGAAAGGCATCTTTAAGTTTTTTGTGAAACGCATGGATTTCGTTTGATAAAATGTATTAAACGGATCATAGATTTTTTTAAATGTGTAAACGTCACATCCTTAGTAGCAGACAGCATAAAATATAAACGTCTTCGTAGTTGGATTATATTATGAAACCAACTTTGTCAACTGACAAGCAAAATACAAAGCAAGAAAAACTGGGACTGGTGAGTAATTATTGATTTTCAAAAAGTAAATGAGTACACATGATGTATATATATAAATAAGAATTAAACTTCAACAGTCAAATAGATATTGTTGACTTTTCCGGTGTTCAAGCCACTTTGAGCCTGTGTATTTGCGTGAGCATTGGGCCTTAGCACATGAAACGAGTGTTTGACAACAGACCGGTTGCATTCAGTGGCCATTTTGGAGGTGTGCCTTGTGCTGCTGATTCATTAACAATGAATGCTCAAGCGGTCTGCTTGTGCGTTCATCCGTTGAACAAAGCATACACCTCAAACATGGCTGCCTGATCATGCAGCGCAACGGTCTACACCTTGTTTCGAGCACGCGACATGCATGTGAGTTGCCGTTCTATTGTCACGATTGTTGTGTTAACTGCTGTTTGTTTTCGTGATTTTTAAATCAAAATCCAAAGAATGCAAGACAGAGGTATAACAAAACAATTGACTGCTGTGATGTGGGACTATGACGTTTCGGATACCCTCGGGGCGCATAGCACCCTCGGCTTCGCTTTGGGTGCTAGGCGCCCCCCAGGTGTTCGAAACGTCCTATCCCACATCACAGCAGTCGACAATTATTGTTAAATATCCGTTGACCATACACGGAGTTCGACGATTTTTAATTTTTTTTTTAGTTGAAGCGCAGATCCCGGCCTTGATGATGGGCGGTATTCAGTTATTAATTTATTAAAACAATTGTGCACTTTGATTCGTGGAATGGTTTTCCATCTGGTGACAAGGATTCAAAACCAGTAATGTTTTATAGCTCACCAGCAGGAAGTGCGGACAAAGAGACAACATAAATCTTGAAATTGTGTGTCAGCTGGTATTAAATACACCAATTAATTTGGGATATGATACAGCTGGCAGAATGGAATTACCAATGTTGTGAATCGTATTAATGGGTTCACGGAATATACACATCAGCGTTAACACCCGTACAAAAAGGCACTTATATATTGAATTTCAGATCAATCAAGCGATAATTACTTCGCTGTTGCGTGAAGCTTGCATGCAGTTTCGGGGAAGGATAATAATATCCCGATATTAAAACAAAGCTATCATATTATTTTTTATTTATTTCCCGACGATTTTGTGATCTTTGTTAACCTTATACGTCCGAGAAATTAGGACAATGAATTGCCTGTGATAGCAATAAACCCCAATGACCTGACCAAGTTTTCGGGAGGTTGGCTTACAAGCCTTATGGGACATGTCGAGAAAAAGTTATAAAGGTACAAACAATACAGGTTGTCATTTTGAGTAAAAAAAAACCCACCGAAACCCAAATGTCAGGACCATTGTTTTAATGAAGTTCTGCATGTAGCACTTTCAAAATCTAGGACCTGAACGCCCAATTCATAAGCTTTCCAGTTTAGTACAAGAATCATTCAAATCACTCATTTAATGTTCCGAGTAACGGATTTTTAAACAAAACCACCGTTTTAACCCTAAAGGGGCCGGGGGACGGAATCCCCCCAACTTTTTCCGCGATAGCTTTAAAAAAAAAAAAGATGTTCGCGACCCGAGCTGTTCCGACTTCTTAGCCTCGAGCCTTGCGCATATTTTGATACTGAAAACAAAAACATCGGACAACGGGTTGCCGTGCAGCGAAAATTTTTCCGGCGCTACGTGTATACGCTACGCGCCGTGAAAACTGAATTTTCCCATAGGTAGTGTACACAGAGCAGATAATTACCATTCATGCATATGAATAATTAATTAGCCATAATTCCAAAACCCTTTGACCTATAGTCATAAAATTTCTTGGATATGCAAAGTTGTCCAATGCATGTACCGAGTTTCAAATTTTTTCGTCACTCGATGGCCGAGATCTTAGGGAGGGGGCGGAATCCCCCCGGCTGAGATCTGATCAAAAAAGCCCGGCCCTTTTAGGGTTAAAGTTCTGTCCACGGATCACAAAAAAAAGGTATTTTCTTTCAGCAAAAGGAAAACAAATCACATAGGGATGTGTGCAAATTGTTTTCGTTTTGTTTGATCAAAAGAACGCACACCTTTTGTTTGCATGTGGGGTGCATCTCTTTCGCTAAGGCAACTTGTGTATACAATTATATATTAAGATAAGGCAAGTTGTACATCATTGTGTTACACCACTGTATTTTAATTGGCCTAGAACGATCACGTGTATAATGTCATGGCACACTCCCCTGACGGGACGCTTGTGTCATTGGTACCCACGCTATTTTCACCATGTTTTCACAAATGAGTGGGAGCAGCGAACTAGCAGACGATCAGCTGTTTCGAGCACTACGCGACATGCTATACATGTGAGTTGACGTTAGATTGTCATGATTGTTGTGTTTACTGCTGTTTGTTTTCGTGATTTTTACATCAAAATTCGAAGAATCCAAGGCAGAGGTATAACAAAACAATTGTTTTTCTTCTATTAGGTGGGATATGACGTTTTGACCAGGCTCGGGGCGCATAGCACCCTCGGCTTCCCCTCGGGTGCTTCGCCCCTCGGGTGTTCAAAACGTCATGTCCCACATCACAGCAGTCAACTATAATTTTGTTAAATATTAATAATATGACAATAAATATTTATTTGAAGTATAGGGCCTATTAAAGTAAGCATATCTTTAGATCTCTTCGTATGAGGATCTCTAGGCAATACGTGTACACCAGGTTCGAGCGAGCTACACGTGTTAACACGAGTATACTCCTGAGTGCCCGAACGGCAGGAGTACGACCCGCGGGTTAGCAGGAGTCATGCTCTCCGTCATACCGGGATAATGCTCCTGCACCGAGAATAATGCACACGCAACATTTTCCTGCACGCGGGAGTAACAAGAGTAACACGCTCGAACGCACCCTCTACGTGTACATTTACGCGGTCAGGTTCGAAGGGGAACTTGACGTGGTACCAATTTCTGCGCTGGTACGCGTCAATGCAATGGTGCTGGTCAAAGTGCTAGTACGTTTGCGCCCTCCAGCGTTGAGATTGACGGTAGCCAGCGTGCGCGTGCTTGAACTTTGACGAGCGCGCCCGTTTTTCGCGCTCGAACGCATTCGGCAGCAGCAGATGCGGCCCAGACACCCGACGAAACACGCCCGGTGGTTGGAGCTGATGGCGAAGAGGAGCCAGGGATCCATACAGGTGTTGACGACCGGCATGATGAAGGCAGCGTCGCGGTAGGTGAGGGATGCTCTCCCGAAGTGTAGGGCCATGAAGTAGGAGAAGTACGGCAGCCAGCAGAGGGCGAAGAACAAGGTGATGATCAGCACGAAGACAGCCAGGCGCTTGCGGTCACGCATCTGTTTGGCCAAGGTGTCACTTGCGTCCGGGAACCTGTGAATGAAAGTCGTATGGGCCTATGTAGGATCATTTGCATTTCCTTTTTGTTCATGTCCAATGATCTATAATACTAAGACCGGAGTCTTATAGCGCACGTATCTACCAACATTATTAGTACTCTCAGGGCTAATTAATATGAATTTCTTTTGATTACAGGTAACTTGCGTATTTGAAATATGAGACCTATTGTATGTAGCACCTTATAAGGGGTTACAAAGTGCTGCACCATAAACACTGGGGAAAACCCCTTGTCTTAGCGATAAGTGTTTACGTGCATTACGTTGTGTAATGCACGTAAACTCCGCTTTTTTTAATCACCCTGTAGTTGGTACAGTTGCTGCAGTTAGGACGCATACATACCTTTGAGTGCTGCGGCAGATGTGAACGGCAATCCTCAGGTAGTAGAATGCCACCACCATCAGCGGTATCACGTACCCAACTGCGAACCTGGCAATCTCATTGGCCTTCTTCGTGGTACTGTCGTCTGGCGAGAGTCGACATCTCCAGAGGCCGTGAACGTCGACGACACGGGCGAAGACCAAATTGGGAATAGCCAAGACGAAGGAGGCGAGCCAGATGGCTACGACTGCGGCTGAGGTGCGAAGGCGACTGGTCTCGCGGCGGCGAGCGCCACAGGCGCTGGACGTCACCGCCGCGTGGCGGTCCCAGCTCAGGGCGGCCAAGGCGTAGACGCTGGCGTACTGCGCCACGAAGGACAGGTAAACCTTCAACTTGCAGACGGACTTGGGGAGATCCCAGTAGGGCCACATCAGCTTCTCGATGTAGAACGGCGTCGGGACCAAGATGTAGAGCAGATCGGCCGAGGCGAGATTCAGTATGAGCACGTTGGGCACTGTGCGCATCTTCCTGTTGGCCAGAATGACGCACATCATGCAGACGTTGCCGACGAAACCTATCACGTTTACGATCGACAGAATTATGGCAGGCCGTGGCGACGCTGGATCGGCAGATGGAGTTAGTATAAAGTCTGGTGGTGGGTTCCAATCATCATAAGAACTTAAAGTCTCATTGTCCCCCATTGTAGCCCTAGCCCCGCTATTCGGACGCGGACTATTGTGGAAAATAACCGCTGCAGTGTTGTGTTCACGGACCGAACTTCAAGTTCAAGGAGCTTTGTCCGGACTGTGCAGAAGCCGAATTTGCGTTGGATTTTTATACCGACGACTGTTCGTGTTTTGAAATTAATACCTGGAAAATTCGATCAAAAATCACTTAATACTTGGCTTGCCTATAGCGACATCTCTGCCGGCACGTACGCCCCGCCCGTTGAGATCGAGAAAATACCAAACTTAACTCGCGTTGGTTGGTTAGCGGTCACGTACGTTGATGAGCCACATCCCATCACGTGGATCATGATCTAGGTAGATCATTCGCGTTTTATATTGCTCACAAGTTTTAGTGGGGTATACATAACAACTTACCTATTGTATGCCTGCCACGTTATTGTTTATTTTCTTATAAATAAACATCGAACTAGCTGAATAATCATGAGCCATTGACGATGAGTCCTGCAAATGTTTCTGTCATGAAATCGCTATAATGGCTCGTGCCATATTTTCAATTGGGAGCGCTGATAAAATCAGGCACACTATATTAGCTAAAAGTGTACAAATGCACCCTTCTCACGTCTATTTATATAGGGGGAGACCGTTCGCATGTATGTCACATTCTTAAATTTGGCTAGTGCAATTTTTTTATGGATTTTTTTTGGGGGGGGGGGCTAGACAAAATTTCCAGTGACATCCTTGAATTGGCCAAAAAAAAACTGTTTGCAACTGGTGCCGCGCCGTTACATTTAGGCACTGTCGAACGATTGACGGCAGATGGATATTTACAACTATTAAATTGCCCGATTTAGGCCTATTTGTTTATCACCATTTCCCAGAGGGATACCTTTTCAATTCGCGGCTGGCACGTCCGTTCACAGCTTCCACGAACTCATTATTTTTAGAGTGCATATTAGATATCTTCTTCCCGCCATAATAGCTTTTCAACGCCCGTATGCACGCTTCTCCATTTCACGGAAGCCCGCTATTTCTGTGGAGTGTTAAACGATCAAAACATCAGTAGGGAAATAAAGAGCCCATGGGTATCGACCAGTAAATTGCCTACGATAATGTTTCTCTAAATAGAGAATTGCGCGGCCCCAGCACATGAGGGTTTGTTCATTGAGTTTTAAGCCGGTCTTTCAGCTTGCGTTTCTGAGAAAATTTGGAATGCAATTGCACCAGAGAACCGACATATTTTGTATTGTAACGGAGTAGATAGGAGTCATTGTTTTCCTTTTCAAAATGGCGATGGCCTGACGTGAAGGGGTGGTCACCTTAAATGGGGGGGGGGGGGGGGGGGGGGGAGGGGGGGGACAATACGGCCCAAAGTCATTGGTTTGTTCCTGGTGAACAGACAGTGAAAGAGGAGGGTAAATTCAGCCTTAAAGGGCCCATGCAATGTATTGAACGCAGCCCTTGGAAATACACCTTTGTATCCCATTAAAAAGATTCAATTCTTGTTTTGCCACTTTCAAGGGTATTTTGAAATTCGAACCGGCGCCTTTGAATGGTTTCCAGAGATAGAGCGCGTTTTAATGTTGTGTCATAATAATGACTATCGTAAATAGTACCATTTGGGAAACACCTTAGCGTCAGAAGTTATTCCTTTGGGAGACAGGTGGAATTAGAGAGACATTTCAATGTCTCTCTAATGCCTTAGCTCATATTTAGTGGCAAAATTATAGTGTCTCATCTTAGGCTAGATTGACTGCACGTGGTCCAGTTAGTAAAAAGAGAATGTGGGGGTGTGATAAGGGGAAATTGGGGTTAGGGTCAGGAAAGTCGGGGGGAAAATTGTGCACAAGTCTGGAATGCCTCGCTAAGGGTAGCATTTCCCGTAAAAATAATTATTATTAATAATTTTTTTTTTGGGGGGGGGATCCGGCACACCCCGTTCAAAGGCAAAAAACGGGGATATAAACTCCATCTAGGCCGACTCTGTGAGTTTACGCCCTGGGTGTGCTGTGCGTAAATCAGAGTGAACCCATAGCATAGCAATTTGCGTTTTAGTCCTATTGTCAAAATAACTTGTATTGTTACAAATGTGTTTAGGGTTACTCAAGCGTGCAGACTAATTCGTGTGTACGCAAGCATTTCAACATCTGCACATAAGGTAGGCATACATGGACGTTTTCACTGTAGATAAGACATTGTAGCTCATCAGTGGTCCAGTAGAAGCTAGGCAGCAATACAACAGTCAAATTAATGTCAATTTTCTCGTGTTTACTTCGGATTTGTTGTCTTTCACTGTCCAACGTCGTCGAGAGTGACATGTCTGTTAGTCGGTAAGGCTGTAACTAATTCAGGTAGGCCTAACTCTTCGCGTTCTTGCTCGTTTGGAAACGTGATTTCTGTATTAGTTTAAAGCCGTTTCTGACGATCGTGTTTACATAGTGTAGGGCGTCGTTAAAAGTTTCGATCAAATTTGAGTCAAGGGTGTGTTTTATTAACGGGCTCAAAAATTACCTTTTCAACCTAAAGCAGACTTCTCTCAATGTAATGACACCTTTTTCGGGGTTTTTAAAAACAGTTTCTTGGGTAAAGAAATTATGATTTTCCTACGTGGTTTACGGTTGGTGCCGTGCGATTCAGCGCGCCTATACTAGCGCGCGTTGTGAGTTCACGGTACATCGCGTGGTGATGTTGCGTTTTGTCGTTGTCATCATCATTTTACTCCCAAATTTCCCTCACAAAGTCAAAGCCCTGCCCTTTATCTATGACATATCTGCATGTTCTTAATGTCACCAACTAGTTTAGGTGGTCAAATAACTAAAAAAGTGGATCATTAATTATAAAAAAAAGCATTAAATTTTGTCACTTTCTTTTTGACCATCCTCACAATACACCTCGTATCGTTTAGTGATTTTTTTACTTTAATACCACCACTCTTTGAAAAAACATTTAGAATTTTAAAAATGAATTTTGTGCAAAATTATAGGAAGTACTTGTTTAATTGTCGTATCATGTTTCGACCATAATGGGTACAACAGTTATAAAGTTGTATTAAAAATATCGTTTTTAAGCATTTTGAAAGAAAATTTAAAGATGTCTCACTCCCGAATTTGTAGAGTCAAATGGTTGATATTTTCCTTTTCTTTTAACCATATATTTTGTATGAAAATCTGACAAATTAAATTGGGAAGTGGTTAACGTGTGCAGAGCCACATGACAAAGCGTGTGATATATCCAACATTCATATTTTATACGACCCCGCTCGCCAGCCAATCGGAGTAAACTTTAGAAATTGTGACGTTATTTCTATCAGAAATTTGGACTTTTAAAGCTGTTGATTGGTCAATTTGGCTACCATGTTTTTGTAATACAACAACGGGTTACGGAAGACCCGATAGAGGGCGCCCGGTGAATGGAAAGAATCTGGAGACCAACGCAGTCGAGTCTTGTTTTGCATAATTAATCGTCGCCCTGCTTGCATATCATAGGCCATTGCTGTGCAAGGGACTATTCCACCGACTAGGCTTAAAGCTACAGTCCATCATTTGTAATTTGTGCATTTTGTTCGTTTGAAGCAACAAAAGAGTTCAAAATCTAATGAAGGATACTGAACAACTAACCTGATGAAGTTTCAGCTAAGCTTCAGCTGTACATTCCGAGAAAAACAGCATTCTAAGATCTCAATTTCAAATCAAAAGTTACTGAATCATGTTTTGAATTGTTTTGAATTGCAGCTATACGCGACGTCGCGTACTGATCCGACGAATTATAACAACCGCGCGCGCGTGTGCGTCGTTCCAATACTTGTGCGCGCTGCGCTGAATAACAAAACGAACTACTAATTTAAATTTTCCTACGGTGCTTCTTAAGAATCACCGTTGGAAATGCCTTCTTTCGTTGATTACTTCAAAATGACAGCTTCCCAGAAAGAAAAATTTCACAGGGAGTTTAGTTCCCTTACTATCTTTCAACCAAGTTTGTTTTTCAACAATAATTCCGCCAGTTACTTTTCGGATGGCTGCAAATGATGGACTATAGCTTTAACCTCGCTTCAATACACATTGATTTTCAAGGGTTAACCTTACAATTTGAATAGAAATGTGACCGAATGAATGTTAATCTTACATTTTGAGTGAAAATTTGACCAGATACATTTTCAAGAGGTTAGTCTTACATTTGGAATGGAAATTTGTAGAATAAATTTGCAAGGTGTTAATCTTATGTTTTGAATGAAAATGTGACCAGCTAAATTTCCAAACGGTAAGCCTTACATTTGGAATGAACATTTGAAGAAATTTATTTGCATGGGGTTAACCTTGCATTTGAATTCAAATGTGAACAAATACATTTACAAGGGATAGATCTTCCACTTTGAATGTACATTTGAAGGGTTTAACCTTACAATTCGAATGAAAATGTGACCAAATAAATTTGCAAGGGGTTAACCTTACAATTCGCAAGATAATTTGACCAAATACATTTTCAAGGGGTTAACCTTACATTTTTGCAAGGGGTTATAGCCTAAGATTTGGAATGACAATTTGAAGAAATTAATTTGCATAGCCGGGGCTAACATTTCTTTTTGAATGAAAATTTGACCAAAGATATGTCCAAGGGTACATTTTGAATGAACATTTTAAGAAATAAATTTGCAAGAGGTTAACCTTACAATTCGAATGATATTTTGACCTATTTGACCCGATATGTTTTTCAACCTTATAATTTGAATGAAAATTTAGCCTAATTAATTTGCAAGGGGTTAGCCTTACATTTTGTGGAAAATGTGACCAACCTAGGGGGATGACCTTGCATTTTGAATCCAAATGAGATCAAATAAATGTACAAGGGGTAAATCTTACATGTGAATAAAAATTTAAAGAACTGTTTTTTTTTTGCAAGGGGTTAACTTGACACTTCGAATGATAATTTGACTTAGGCCCTAATAAATGTTTAAGGGGTTATCTGACATTTTTGGAAGGGGTTAGCCTTACATTTGGAATGGAAATTTGACCAAATAAATGTTCAAAGAGTTAACCTTTAATTTCGAGAAAAAATGAAGTAATGCATTTCCAAATAAGTAAGTTAAGCGGATATTTTGAAAATGTATCCTTAATTTGCAAGGGGTTAGCCTTACATTTTGAGTGAAAATTTGACAAGTTACATTTGCAAGGGGTTAGCCTTACAATTTAAATGGAAATTTGACGAACACCTTTTTATCAAGGTGTCAATCTTACA